GTCTCGTCGACGAACAGTGAGGTCGGAGATAACCGAGTTTCAGAGAGATCGTCGGCGAATTTGAAGGTGAGCTTGAGCTTAATGAGGTCCTGACTGCGAAGAATCCGGCCCCGATAATCGGGGTCATGTTTCAAGGTATTTCAAAGTGTTCTCGATATACTCCGATGTATTTTGGGGTCTGTAGTGGTGGTATCAGTTCTGAGATGGTGATGTTAGTCCGACTTTGATTTGGAGACCCGAAGTGGCGCTCGCTGTTGTTCCGATGTCCATTGGTCCTAAATAATTGAGGTCAAGGATGTCGGGCTCGAGCAACGATGTGCGTTGGGGTCGGTCGTGAAAGTCGGTCAGACTGGATGTCGGATTTCGGTCATGGGCTGTTGCAAGGTCAGCCACGTTTTTATACAATGTCGGCCCATTGACAATATTCCAGAGGTCGGTTACATTTTGGAGATCCGAACTTGGGCCCGGCTATAGATTGAGATCCAATGGTGAAGCCTGGCTCAGAGGTAGTGACGTCGGTTTAACTTGTGATGCTGATGTTTGACTAAATCATACAACATGATCTCGGCAACGAAGGACATTTTCTGTCGTCAATGAGATTGGGTTTCGGGATCGCCGTCCCAGAATTCAAAAGACATCCGTTGGATAAGGATCTTACCAAAAGTTTTCTCTTTTTGACTTTGAAGATTAAAGTCCATGTAGGCAACGTGGCTTTTCCTTGTTTAAAGGAAATTAAAAAAGTATGGCGGCGGGCACCGTGGCCTTGCCTTGTTCAAAGGAAATTGTTGCTCTCTCTCATCCGCCACAATTCTCTTCTTTGTTCTCAAAAATTTTTTTTGCAGTCCCAACAAAAATAAAAATCAGAGGACTGTAATATTATTTAACTAGATGTAAAGCACACCTGAGGTAACAGATTCTGTGTTCTGCAAATTTAAGAATGGTGTTCAAACTTGAAGATGTTGAATTTTGCAGCAGAACTGTGACTGCTTCTTGGCGAAAATTAACTCCGAATGAATGTGGCCCTTCCTCTAGCGCCAAACTGTTGTTATACGATTTTGTAACAACAAAAATGTACACCCCCTTTCCGTGAATAAGGGGTATACGGTTTATATGAATTGGTAGAGATTTGTGGGAGATGAAGATCTATCCATTTTTCTTTGTTTGTTGGTGTTTGTTGTATAATATTGTGATCAAGAATTCAAATGAATTGAACACAGAAAGTCAAGAAAAATGAAAAAAATGATCTGTATCTTATTTGTTTGTATCATTGAATGATAGAGAAATCTGGGGAAAAATCCCTGAGGCGGTGCCTCCTTTTAGTGTAGATAAAGCAGAAAACGAAAAAGCCTCCCGTAGTTATCTGCTCAGCCCCTATTTATATTTGGGCTAATGGGCCTGTATATCTAATGGGCTTATACGATAAAACATGACCGCGCAGGGCCCAATAAATATGACCACGCAGGGCCCAATAAATATGACCACGCAGAGCCCAATAAATAAATAATAGCTCCGACTGATATTTGTCTTGTCAGCAATTGACGTGTCTGTATAAGCGGCTTCTTTGTGATATCAGGGTTGAGCTGGCGGTCTTTTGGATGTGGACCTCGTCTTCTGCGAACTCGGTCAATATAAATCAGATAAAAGAACCTACTATTCATATTTATTTAATATATATCCACGTGTAATATTTTAATAGACGAGGCCAAAATTAGGTAACAACAGTATTGTTGCCAGTTTGATTGTTATTTTGAATTGTTTTTTAAACATTTACGCTTTGGTTATTAAATTTGGTTGTTGCATTAAGGATAACTTTGAGTTATTTCTGAAACATATATGCCTTAGTCTGATGAATGAATTAA